TTCTGCATATAGGTTGAAAAGGTATGGAGATAGGATGCATCCCTGGCGTACGCCCTTCCCAATTTTGAACCATGCAGTGTTCCCTTGCTCTATATTTAGATATGTTGTTTTTATGTGCAATTGAGTCACCAAAACCCTTATGTACAATAGCTCTGAACCCTGCCCTATCCTGAGTCAATTTTCCTGACTCTTGTCACGGCTAATCCTATTGCCCATCTCATCCAAGGTTTTCCTTCCTGTGCTATCTCTCCACCCTTCCAAGAATGATGTCCTTCTCCAAAGACTGCTCCTTCCTGGCCATGTAGAAAAGATCTGTCTGACCATCTGTCTGTCCGTCCATCCATCCATTCCATTTATCTATCTTATCTATATCTATCTGTCTGACCATCTGTCCATCCATCCATCCATTCCATTTATCTATCTTATCTATATTTATACACTCTTATCTATACACTTTTGGAACCAGAAGTCAGGAAATCAAGAGATAAATTGAATTAGGTAAATCTGCTGTCAGAGACCAGAGTACTGAGGAGCAACAGTGTCAGCCTAGAGACTAAGGTGCTCCTGATCCAATCTATCGTTTTTGCATTTACTTGCTATGCACCAGAAAGCTGGACAATGACTTAGGATGATAGAAGAAGAATCGATGCCTTCAAATTGTGGTGTTAGAGAAGAATCATGAACATATATACCATGTACCACCAAGAAAACAAACAGGTCTGTCTTGGAGAGGGTGAAACCAAGTTTCTCTTTGGAGGCTAGGATTTTGAAACTCTGTCTCATATTTCAATTTGGGCATATGGCCAGGAGGGACCATGGAGAAGGACATCATGTTTGGAAAGGGTGGAGGGATAGTGCAGAAGAGGAAGACCCCGAATGAGATGGATTGATACAATAATTAGTGCAATGGTGGTAGCTGTGTTGAAATCAAAGAGACTGCCTCAGGACAGGACAGCCTTCGGAGCTGTTGTACATAGGGCCTCTATGAGTCATAGGCAACTTGACAGCACATAATAACCCATGTCTATATCTATCTATCTATCTATCTATCTATCTATCTATCTATCTATCTCTCTATCTCTCTATCTCTCTATCTCTCTATCTCTCTATCTATCTAAAGCTCATTGCCCCTGGAATGGGTTCTAAATCATACCTGAATTCCATAGGGTTTCTGAGGTTGTAAATCTTTATGGGAAGATACTGCCCATTTTTCTCTCAAGGCGTGACTGGTAAATTGGAAATGCCATCCCTTTGGTTGGCACCCTATATGTTGTGAACTATGTCACCAGTATTCTCAAATACTTTCTATCTGTATATATACGTTCCCATTTCAGTAATCTTTTTTTTGTTTGTTTGTAAAAGATTGCATGACTTTAATTTTTTTTCAATGCAGTAAACATAATTTATCCAGTTTTTTTCTCAGTCTTACCCCCACCCCAATAACATGACTTTAATTTTTAGGCGACAGTATTGTCAGATCTTTAGCAGAGCACAACACAGTCTGTGTCAGAGTAGAACAATGCCAGTGAGTTTCCACTAAGTGTCATTTTTTGAAAGTAGATCTTTAGACTTTTTTTCTGAAGAGCCTATGGAAGGTATGAAGAAATGGGATCTTATGGAATATGTACATTGTAAGGAGGGACCAATCCTTGGTAAAAGACATCATACTAGAAAGGTAGAGAGGGTCAGAGAAAGAGGCAAAGACCCTCAACAAGACGGTTTGTCATAGTAACTGTAACTGTTTGTTGTCTCAGTGCTTTGGGATCATGCGGATGGTGCAGGGTAGGGCATGGTTCATATCTCTTGTTCATAGAGTCACTATGAGTCATAGTCAGCTGGCTAGCACCCACCACCACCCCCAGTGAAAATAGGGGCAGAAGATACCTGTTCATGTATAAGTCCTAACTTTCCTAACTGCCAGACAGATAGATACTCAGCCTGGATTTAGAAGAGACTGTCGCACCAGGAATATCATTGCTGATGTCTGATGGATCCTGGCTAAAAAAGCAAAGAATATCAGAATATTTGTGCTTTATTAACTCTGCAAAAGCATTTGACTGTGTGAATCATAACAAATTATGGCTTACATTGAGAAGAATGGGCATCCCAGAGCACTTAATTGTGTTCATGTAAAACCTGTACCTAGAGTAAGAGGCTATTGTGTGAACAGAACAAGAGAACACTGGTTTGAAGGATGAAGAAGGATGTGCATCAAGGTTGTACTTTTTCTCCATACCTTTTTGATCTGTATGCTGAGCAAATTATTTGAGAAGCTGGAATCTGTGAAGAAGATTGTGACTTCAAGATTGGAGGAAGACTGATCAATAACCTTTGCTATATAGGTTACACAACATTCTTTGCTCAAACTGAGAACTTGCAGCATTTGCTGAAGAAGATCAAATGCCTTCCATGTATATTCCATCTCAGCATCAAAACCCACAAGCATTCTCACCATTGGGCAGATGGGGAATATCATGAATGATAGAAAAAAGATTGAAACTGTCAGTAACTTCATC